AAAGGTTAGAGAATAATATTGTACCATTTTAAAAGGGTCAATCCAAGTATAAATATTCTGTGCCACTCCCCACATAGAGACTCTAAGCATTTTCCTCCACAAATAGAGGGATCTAAAACAAGACTACAGGGATAGAAATAGTTTCTCTTTTATAACAGAGGAATGCTGGTGCTGATTAACAGGGCCATGAAATTAAACAAGTCCTTATTTTTGATTCAAAATAGTATGGTAAGTTAATTTAATCATTATAGAAATGTGTTTTACATAGTTATAGGTAAAAATAACCTACCCATCAATTTGGGTCAAATATAGATGGTGAGCCAAATGAAACAAAAATACATCATCTGAATGAATTTATGAAATGATACCTGTTATGGGTGTGAACACATCTTTGAGCCTTCTGATTAAAAACTTCAGGTTCACAGAACAGTTTCCCCCCTTTTTTATTCACAGAAAAGACCGCAAGAAGCAACTTCAGCTATACTTTATTAGAACAGTCAAGTCATTTAACTTTTCTGGCTTGATTAAATGTTTTGTGTTCTTTTGCAAGCAAATCCCTCTCCTGTCTGATACTCTTTTGTGGTATTAAATAGTAAAACTATTCATATCTAGATTAAAGAATAATATCTAGATTTAAGAATATAACTTATAGAATTTATAGGCAAACTTTCATTTGTCTCTCAGCATCTGACCTGATCTAGTGATGACTCTCCCATAAATAAATCTTGCCTACAATCATGTCCATAAGAAAGCTTGTTTTTTTCAGAATGCTCTTTCTTTAATCTTAAAGTATCATTCTCTGTATTTTAAAATTTCCTTTAGACAACTGTGTATCTGCACTTCTCCTTTCTCCCATAACCACCATGCCATAAGAGAATCTAAACCACCATCTATTTCTAACTCCTTAGCAGCAAAGCATAGCCTTGAGAATTATGACAGAGCTATTTGGATATCTGCAAATACCAGCAAGACATTATGGAGGAAATCAGTCTCATCATAATGTCTGAATTCATATAATGTATTTTATAAATTAGAAATACATAATTGATTTTGCTTTATAAAACATAGAGCACTTCTTTGTCAAGTAGAATAACTTTATCTCAGGCCCCATGATGGTGGCCTTCTCTTGCCCCAAGTCATGATTTAAGCCTATCACAAAACATAACACAGAACAGATAATAGAAAAAAACTAAGACAATGCATTCCTATGTTAACAGCATCTTCCATTACACACCAATTACATTACATTAAGGTTCAGTACAGCTAAAACACTCTTGGATTGTGCATGCTTGTACCTGCTTGTGTGGCATGAATTTTAGTGCTTACTATGGAACTTCCTACTAAAACTGCCCTCTTCCAACAGAATATTATTGTGGATCTTATCCAGTAGGTATGAAAACTAGAATTGATTTCAGCAATATAAAAACATCTCTTCCATACCTTTATCTACAGTATGACTGAATAATAGAAAAACCCACAATAGCCAGCAATTGTCTGCATATAGGTATTTATTGTACAAAAGATTTAAAAACTTAAGGCGCTGTTTTTATTATTAATAATAAGCCTACAATGGATCCTCAGAAGGATGGCTTCAAGATACTGCAATAAATGGTATCATTCTATCACATCCCAAAATATTCTGTTATTGGAATGTAAAATATGTTGCACATCTAACTCAATGGACCCTTCCAAGACACTGTTGACATACATGGGACACATTTGTGATGAGAAGAGCTGCTGCCTTCCTGACACTCTAGTAATATGTATAGCATTTCTGTTTGGCATATTCAGAAGACCAAAGGTTCGTTTTTAGTAGCAATAAATACACTATGTGCTTCTAGCTGATATTTATTTATTATTTATTACATGTAATTTAAATTAGCACAAGACTAAAAGTTCTATTTGAAGACTGTCTAGTTTAATGAAGAGAAGAATTAGGAGTGACATGATAGCATTATCCAATATCTCAGGGGTTGCCACAAAGAAGAGGGAGTCAAGCTATTCTCCAAAGCACCTGAAGGCAGGACAAGAAATAATAGATGGAAACTAATCAAGGAGAGAAGCAATCTAGAACTAAGGAGAAATTTTCTCACAGTTAGAACAATTAATCAGTAGAACAGTTTGCCTTCAGAAGTCGTGAATGCTTCAACACTGGAAATTTTTAACAAGAGATTGGACAACCATTTGTCTGAAATGGTATAGGGCAGAGGTAGTCAACCTTGGCTCTTTTATGACTTGTGGACTTCAACTCCCAGAATTCCTGAGCAAGCTATGCTGGCTCAGGAATTCTGGGAGTTGAAGTCCATGAGTCATAAAAGAGCCAAGGTTGCCTACCCCTGGTATAGGGTTTCCTGCTTGAGCAACAGGTTGGACTAGAAGACTGCATAGGTCCCTTCCAACTCTGTTTTTCTATTCTGTTCTGTTCTGTTCTATTCAATACATTGAACACTCAGATTTGTCTAGTATAGGGATAAGAGTGTTAGATTAGGAATGCAGTTTCAAGCTCCCACTCAAAAAGAGTGTTCTAGGTAATTTGGAGCCAATCCTGTGTCTTAATGCCACCCGTCTCATAGGACTGTTGTGTAGATAAAATTAGAGGCAGCAATAATTTGTATATTGGCTTGAGCTTTTTCAGAACAAAAGGCAACAGAAAAGAAATGGGACAATAAATAAATGAAAGATAATGGGCATTACGGTATCACACTTTAGACTGTAGATGTGGCTTATGACTTCCCAATAATATTACATCATTGCTGTACACAACAATATTGCTGTATTAGATAATTAGATTAGATACCCCTCATTACTGTTTTCCAATTACACCTGAAGTCTTTCAGAATCTTGCAAGTCTGAACATGCTTGGAATTGTTCATCAAGGTTTTTCAGAATGCATTTAATGCACCTCTTAATGCACTTCCCCCTCCCTCCCTTTACCTTTATGAGATCTAGAGAGAGTCTTGTATGAGATTTTTTTTCTCAGGTTTCAATTCTGCCCTGGGCTCAGGTTGCTTTCATCTGACAGTTGTTTGTAGCAGCAATACCATCTATGCCTCAAGGCCATTCCCTTAGTGCCTTAGTCAGATACTGCCTCCTTTATCCTTTGGGATGTTGCTCCCTTCTTTCGGTACTTTTTGTCTTTGCACTCACTGCCTCTTCCTGCATTCCCTTGCTTGAGCCTAATACAGTCCTCTCATTGTTATTTTGTTTTATTACCCTTGTTGAATCATCCTACAGGTAGTCTTCAATTGAGGCCAAAATTTCTGTTGCTAAGCAAGACAATTGTTAAGTCAGTTTTGCCCCATTTTATGACCTTTCTTGCCACAGTTGTTAAGTGAATTACTGCAGTTGTTAAGTTGGTAACATGTTGTTAAGTGAATCTGGCTTCCCTATTGACTTTGCTAGGATGCAGACAGTGATCGCATGACACTGGGACACTGCAACTGCCATAAATACAGAGCAATTGCCAAGCATCCTAATTTTGATCACATGAGCATGGGAATGTACAATGGTCATGAGTGTGGAAAACAATAGGTCATTTGTTCAGTGTCATTGTAACTTCAAACAGTCACTACACAAATGGTTGTAAATTGTGGACTACTTGTAACTACAGTGCCACAAATTGGAGGTAAATCCCATAATGAGACCTGACAATGGCCAAGAGCAGGAAAATTGAAGAAAGAGACAGAGGAGCTAATTCCAGCTGCACAAGACCAATTCTTAAGAACAAATGCACACAAAGCCAGAATTGAGAAGACAGCAGTAGACAGCAAGTGCTGCCTCTGCAAAGAAGCTGAAGAAACAATGGACCACAAAGTTAGCTCTTGCAAGAAGATTGTACAGACTGACTACAAATAACGGCATGATAAAAGAAGCGACAAAGGTGCATTGGAATATCATGAGGAAGCTAGATTTTTCTGGGACTTTAGAATTCAAATGGACAAGCACCTGCCACATAACTCCCAGACTTAACAATTGTCAGTCAGAAAGCAAAAAGGTCTGGATAGTGGACGTACAATAGCAGTATCTGGAATAGCAGAATAGAAGACAAAGACTGGAGGAAATACAAAGATCTGCAAATAGAAGTAGATAAACTGTGGCAAAAGAAAGCAAAGATAGTATGAAAAGTAATAGGCATCTTTGATGCAATCCCAAAACATCTGGAGCACACCATCAGCATGGACAAAATCTTCTTTTTGCACAATTGAACAACATCTGTATATCCCAGGTCCTTGTGAAGGACTTGACAGGTGGATAAAAATGCCAAATCCAGTCTGAACATCTGGCTATGCAACAAATTATAATGTATTATTGTTATGTATTAAATTTGTAGTCCATCTGAATCTTAGTGACTCTGGATGGATGCCATCCATTCCTGCCCTCCAGAAACAGTAAGAGGCCCGTACTGGCAATAGGGCAAACAGAAATTATGGATTTGTCCTTACTCTTTGAAGGAGATGGGCAGTTCAAAATGTGAAAAATAAATAAAATAAAAAATGGGATGTCACCAGAGAATATTTTGGTATCTATATACTTAATATGACCATTTCTAAATAACAACATATAGTGCTTACTTTTTAAATTAAATACATATTTAAAAAACCCACATGGTGAATTTTTACTCACAATTCTTCACCGAACTTGACATACTAAATTATTGAGTACTACTTTTGAAAACAAAATTCTGACCAATAGTGTCAAGTGTGATTCTAGTAATGGATTATTCTATTCGGTTTTTCAGCATTGCTTTTTATTTAATATTTGTTGTTTTATTAAATGAGGTACAAAATGTTATTCTGAATGAAGATTAATTACTTTTTTCTGGAAAAAAGGGAGATTTTTTTCCCCCTGGGAGAAGGTGAAATATAAGCCTTTTCACAAGAGAAGTATCAAATAAAGCATCTCCTCTTTATGTTCAAATAACATCTCCATTTAAATTATATTTCTGGAGGATCCATTTAAATACAAAGTCTCAGACCTTTTTTTTTTCTTTGTTCATAAAGCCCCTGCCTCCTTGCCATGACTCAAAGGAATCTATGCAGGTGTTCAAACAGCATTGCCAAATAGCAGAAGAATACTATGAAGTCAAAAAAGAAATTGCACTGCTTGAAGAAAGAAAGTAAGTTTTTTCCCCCCATATCTCACAAATAATAATTTATCACCGAGTCATTAACTGGTTTAGTAATTTAATTAAAGTGAAATAAAAATTCAGTGCATTTAACTCTATGAATATGTGGAACATGTGACTTGCATTGAAAGTAGCAAGAGTCATTTGTTGAGGTGGACAGCCATAGAAATGAAATAAATGAATAAACAATAAACACAAGTGTGTATTTTCCCAATGTTTCATGTTTCTCTGCCAAGACAGCACCTGGTCTGATTTTACTTACAGTGCAATAATTTTCAAAGAGCTTTAGAAACCTGGAGAAATGCTGGGATTCAAAGCATGAAGAATAAATTGAAAAGTTACATCCAATAACTTGGATTTGCTTTTGCAAAGGAGTGTGTTTATTAATTAACTAATAGAGAAACCAGCTTTCTTCAACCTGGTGCTATGATGTGTAGGGCTGTTAGATGGTTTTTAGTTATACAAATCTAGAAGAAACCATTTAAAACAAAATATGATATTCAATGTGATAGTCTCCCAATTTTCACCCATGGGGAGGAGATAGCTGGGATAAAGTCTTAATGAAAATTTGTTTCTTTTTGATAACCAGATATGAATTTGTGTGCTATAGGAACTGATTCACAGTGCAGCGAATTTGAAAACAGTAAGACCTATGTGATAAAATGTAACCTATTAATATTAGGAGGAGTTCTCATGGTTGTTAGATGGAACCAGTAGTACTATGGAGGTAGTTTACACAGGTTGACTTCAAATATTTGTTTTAGGTTCAGTTGACTGGAAATATCCTTTTAGCTGTAATTTTTTTTCCTATCTTTCTAGCTTGCTCCTTGATCAGTAGGAATAAGCATTCTTGTGCAGTGAAGGCCCCGTTGAACAGATAATCCTAGTCAGAGGCTGGTGGGAAGTAGTTCAGCATGCTTCCTTCCCTCCTCTCTCCTGTACAGTACCACAAATCCGAACACACACAGCATCCTCCATTTATTCACACACATACATGCAAACATGCGAAACAGGTGAAATCATTTGCCGGACAGCACAAAAAAAAAGTCATAGCACTTAAATTTTCTCAGTGGTTTCCTGTGTCAAGTAAGGGAGAGACATGGCACAGAATTGCCTGCCTTCCAGCCTCTGCCTCTGCCTCTTTTTTTCATGGTTGGCACTGGTAATAAAAATTCAGCTCCTGTGTTATTTGTTTCTGCTAAAGAGCCTCACTGAAGGTGTACAGTTAAAGGGGAGGAAAAAAGTTATTGTAAGTATTTAACTGAAAAGATTTATTGTTTGTGGGACAGTATGGTCTATAGACATAAACTGAAAAATAACTACCTGGACGATGGATACAACCCAATTTCTCAAAGAGCAAACCAAATGCTCAGGAACGCTGAAAAAGAATTTTTTAAAAATGGTATTGTGTCTCTTAATCAGAGTATGGGTAAACTCAGCATTAGATGTTTAGTTTTGTCCTTTGGTATATATTATATATAGTATGTGTTAAGTTACGGGTAATTTGTTACCTAGAACTAATGATTATAAGATCCTTCAGATCTTTCCATAGTTACTTTCCATTAATAACAATTGCAGCAGGGATATCTGAAAGGGAAAAAATTAAGAGATTATACAAAGAATGAATATACATACATACATACATACATACATACATACATACAGACATACATACATACAGACATACATTATGAGACAATTATTTTTTTCCATTTAATTCAGATTTACCTACAGCTGTTAGTGAAATTATACATAATGGATTTGTTACCATCATGAGCATGTTGACTGCTATACTGAACACACTAATTTGAGTCTTCCCAGGAAAAAAAATTCATACATTTTCCACTAACTGATGTTTTCAGAAAGCATTCTCCTTTTTCTTCTTTTATTCATGGATCTTTGGATCCAAGCCAAGGTATCTGTGTTCACCTTTAATATAATCTTGGAAAATAAAGACACTTAATTTTTGTTTTCCTTTTCAGAAAAGAGTTGATCACTAGGCTAGATGAAGCTGAGAAAGAGAACAGGGATGCTGCACAGTTAACGAAGGAGTACGCAGATCTGACAGAAGAGAACCGGACACTGAAGTTGACCCAGACACAATGTGTCGAACAGCTGGAGAAGCTTAGAATACAGTATCAAAAGAGACAGGGATCATCATAACCTGAATGAACATATCTGGGCCAATAAAAAAAATGCAAATCTTGAGTCTGCTGGGTAAAGGGATTTTTTTTTCTTTCCATGTCTCAGAGATTCCTTCTAAAGAGTTGGAACACTTAAACTTGCAGACTATACAAGCATCTATATTTAATGTAATGCTTTCCAGCCACTAGCTAAATATGGATATTGGATATTTTATTTCAAGTAGCATAGTTAGAGGCTTATCAGTCCCTATTATATATGCAAATGGATCAAGTTTCTGTTCTAAAGATATTTCTTTCAATTTTAAGAAGGTTTAAGTGCATTAGAAACTGGTATGAGTCATCTCTGTTGGAGGGTGGATTACACTAAGATATATGGCAGGAAGAATGTTAAAATGGGGCAGGCTGCAGCAATGCTGTCTTTTAAATTTGAACTAAGAAAACGGAGAAAAATCAGTCTGTTATTTAGCAAGATAGGTGAAAAGGTACTCAAACATGGAAGAATATTTAAAAGTTAGCAACATGCTATCTAAATCACTTTCTTTGTCAAGCTACAGCAAAAACAAATATAGAGAGACAAATTCCTTGGCTATAACCTCCAATATATTTAATAGGATTTCAATTCTAAATAGATTGTCTTAGAATTTCAGTATAAATTGACATGGTAATATGTACATTGTTAAAACAATAAAGGGACAGGTCTATGTTGTACAACAGTATTAAACTTCTTAAAAGTAAATCCTGTTGATTTTAATGGCATTTTTGGTTTGAAATTTAGTTAGGATGCTACCCAGGCATCATTCCCAAATGAAGCCTTGAGGATTTACTTAATATTTGACATCAAATTCAAAATGTAACAAAATTAACTACTATATATATTTTTAGAAACTCTATTCAAATTATTACCCTTTCTATACATAGAAAGGGTAGTCTTTTAGTTGTAATTTTATACAAAAAGTCATCTCTATTAACACGTGCTACATGCAAAAGTCACTATTCATTTGAAACAACACAACACTACACCCTAATTAAAAGCAGTGCTCAATGTGTTGTGAGAATCAGCCTCTTTCCAAGCAAATGCATGTTCAAACCACATTGCATCAGCTTGTTTCCATTTCTCTTTTTTGTAAAAGTATCTTCAATACCACAAGGTAATCAGAATTATGATGCTAGAAAGAATAGGGATCATTCATCCAATTTGTGCTCTGAAACTATTTTTCAGATCAGGAAAAGCACACAATTATTTCAACAGTATATAAAATGAATAATTATATATTTCTAGGGGGGTAAATAAGATTTGCAAAAGCCAATTTTATCAGTGGTTTTATTCCATCTTCCTTCCCATGCAGTCAAATAGGGCTAAGGATTAGCTACTTACAGAAAGAATTCTCAAAATCCTCCCTCACCTTTCCCTGCCAGAACTCTATTCCACCAATGACAACACAATCTATGAACTGTTTTCTTTCTGATTTGGTGCTAAAACTGAATTATCAATGTGGTTTATCAAAGTAGCATTGCAGTCATCATTGGAATAGGCAAAAAATGCCCACTGAACAAAATATTTTTGGCAGTTTTGTTCATGTTGATGTTAAAACTTATGTTGACTTGAAAGTAAATTCAGGTTGGGATTTGCTTTTTGGTAATTTGTTTAGGTTTGTGATGAAAAAATGATTTAGTCTTACATCCAAATTTTGATGAACTTTCTAGAAGAAAGGGCTGATCTTAGATAAATATTTTAAACGTTTCATTTCCTTCTTTTTCTCCACATACTTGTTTTCCTTGAATCAGCTAAAATGTCTTTGTTATATTGCCGTTCTATTCGCACAGTATTTTTTTCATTAAAAAACAATTTAAAAAACAATCTTATTCCTGAATTTCATTACTCTGGCTAAAACGTTGAACTATTAATAGCAGATTCTAGATAGATATAGAATCTGATAGCATCTTCAAAACTAGCCCTCTTTATTGGACTATAAGCATCTACTTCATAATAAGAGTATTCATCAAAGTGTTATCAGATTCTGCATCTTTTTTGTTATCACAGATTTATACAATTCCTCACTTTCCCACCAACCTGTCTGTTCTCCACTATGAAAAGCACCAGATTTAGCTGTATGGAGCCCAAATCCATAAATCTTACCAAAGCTGGTCCAGATAGCCATCTGATGACGTGTATTACTACTAATGTTGCAATCAAGTTAGCTAGTCTTGCGGATGCTACTAGAGCCAATTGTACCACATAGTTTGCTTATACTATTAAATGTTAAATAAAATGGATCAAAATTCTGCATAGTTCTTGGTATCTTGATAGAGTTCAAATACTATGGAGAACATATTCATCTTTGATCCAGAATCATATTAACCATGTTGTAAGTCTAAAATGCAACAATAATAGGATAAGACCAAATCATATGGATTAATGTTCTATCTTCTGAGTTATGTCTCAACAGCAGAGTGATTGTAACTCTTACTGAACATTCTCTGATGCATCAAATATACATGAAATATACTATCATTGTGGAAATTCAGAAGCACTTATCAAATCTGGGCCAAAATAAACCAAATAACAAGTACTTAAATTGAGTATACTGCCAAGACTACTGCCATATTTGATTCACATGAAAATGTCATTTTAAAAACCTGCAAACATTTTAAAAGAGGTTCCTTAAAACTGACTGATTCATAGCAATGACAATGTGAAATATACGTTTTCTTAAAATGTATTTTTGAATGGATTATTCTATATTGTAAAATTTTCATGGCTACATGGGTCTGAGTTGTAATTAAATTCCAGTAGCATCCATAGAGTAACATTAAACGCAAATGTTGAAACATATCTCACACAAACATGAACATCAAAACTTATCAGGATTTTAGTGAGGATAATAATAATAATAATAATAATAATAATAATAATAATAATAATAATAATAATAATAATAATAATAATAATAATAATAATAATAATAATAATAATAAAGTTGGAAGGGACCTTGGAGGTCATCGAGTCCAACCCCCTGCTCAGGCAGGAAACCCTACACCATTTCGGACAGATGGCTGTCCAGTCTCTTCTTAAAAACGTCCAGTGTTGGAGCATTCACCGCTTCTGGAGGCAGGTTGTTCCATTGGTTAATTGTTCTAACTGTCAGGAAGTTTCTCCTTAGTTCTAGGTTGCTGAGGGTGAGAAGGAAGGAAGGAAGGAAGGAAGGAAGGAAGGAAGGAAGGAAGGAAGGAAGGAAGGAAGGAAGAATTTGTATTATGCACATGGGTTAGATTTATCAAGAGTCCCAAATCTGTGAAATAGTTTAGACATAGTTACAGAGGACCCAGTGAAATCATAATGGCTGTGAAGTCTTCCTTTGAAGTGCTTTTCCTATCAGAATTAATTACAGAAATCTCCTTTGTACCCTTCTGACACTGATAAAAATCAGGGATTCTCAATTGTTAAAGATCACCAATACTAAATAATGCATAGTTCTGAAAGATAAGAAGTTTTAAATGGAGTGGCTTATAAATATACCAAATATGCAATGAGCTCAGACCTACCATGATACATGCAGCTGAACAAACAAAATAACTATTTCAGTTTGAACCTTGGAGCTTCTCATCTATTTATGCACTTTCCTATTTTAAGGATTGCCATTATTTAATATCAATCTGGAGCAACTAAAGCATAAAGTTAAAGAAGCTAGAAAAGCATTAAATAAGAACAAAATAAGGCTGCCACTCTTTATAAGAAAAATGTTTCTTATACAGTAAATAATACTTCATTTTTAAAAATGGAAAGAGGAAAAAAGATAATGCATGTGTCACTGAAATGAAAGCATAAAAATCATTCTTATTTGAGGACACAAAATAGTTTCTAAGATACTGCTACAGTACTTTGCTTATTCATAAATAAATAAGAAAAAGGGTGAATTTTTGTTAGTTAAACATTTGTAGAATTGTCAATTAAGTATTTCTGGTACAGCAACTCAATAAACAAGATCAGTACAGAAACAACTATAAAGAGTAGTCACTCATGAACCATTTTAAAAAATAATGTGCCATTATAATATCACTAAAAATCTATAGCTAATTGTTCCAATACAATAAGATAATTAAATTAGCATTCATTTCTTAGAATTAACAGAGATTAAAATAATTTTACCCTAATATTTACACTGTCTGGGCTTAGAAACTAAGCAGAGTTGGGCCTGGTTAATACTCAGATGGGAATTCACTAAAGAATGCTCTAGTTATATATTAAACTCTAAAGCTGTAGGAGCAGCTCAGAAAAACCACTCTGTATTGTTATTAAAAAGCTTTACACAGACATTTCCAGAATGTTACCAGGAAAGAAGTTCTGCTAAAAAAATATTTTACATTTTTATGTTTATGCCCAAGTATGTGTGCGTGTAATGGCCAACATAATAGTAAAACTATTCCTTGTTGTGTCCTCAATGTTTGGAGACAGAATTTATTGAAGTAGAATCTGATTAGCAAGATCATTTATTGGCTTAAATGGACATCCTGTTCTGAGGACATCATAGCTCAGTTTCTCCTGGATACTGTTGGAAGTCAACACCCACCCTCCTAGAGCAGGAAATATTTTTTGGGGGGGATATTAAAAAGGACAGAATATTATATTTCCCTAAAGGAATAATTAAAAATCTTAGGCAAAGAGAGCCCCAAGTCTCCCTCCTCCAAGCAGAAATCAAGCAGGCCAGCTTTTAGAAATGCAGATTTGATAATCTTTTCAGAAAGACTGTAGCCAGAAAGCTTGGAGTTGATGGGATTAGAAAGACAAAGATCCCTAGAACCAACAACCCCTCACTCCAAAAAATCCAACACAGGACATAGCCATCAGCCATAGCCCCAGGGTAGCAGGATATGACCTTTAGGACATAATAGGACAGTGTTTCTCAACCTTGACAAATTTAAGACATGTGGACTTCAACTTCCAGAATTCCACAGCCAGCATTGCTGGCTGTGGAATTCTGGGAGTTGATGTCCACATGCCTTAAAATTGTCAAGGTTGAGAAACACTGTAATAGGATTAACCCACCACCATCAAAATACCCAAAAGGACACATTCAAAAGCTCACCTCAAAGTTCATGTCACAGGAACAGGAAACAACTCCAAACACAAAAGCCCAAGAAGGTATAAAACCCCACCACTCCCAGCTACATGTGGTCAGCTTTCCTAGAGCCACATTTCTTTCTGGTTCTGCTCTTCAATAAACTACAACCATTTTGTTTATTCCCGGCTTGGACTGGACCCTGATGAAGATTTTTCTTTCAACAATACCATCACTGAAGATTTTAAGATACCAATAGTGGTATGTTTACATTTGTCTTACATCTTTGAATGTTTCCAGACTAAAGAAATTAGAATATGACAAATAATGGATATTGATTTATAGAGAAAGAATGCTAAAACCTTCTTCTTTTTGTTTTCCAAAGTAAAACCTAAATAAAATTCATCCACGCTAAAAATCTTGATATTTTGATATAAAATTTGATATAAAATCTTGATAAAAAGTTTCAGCATAGCTCAATTCAGTGCTTCAGCTTTACTGGAGGGAAGATACTAATATATTCCCTTTGCTGAAAGGTTTTGCTTCTGTCATTCAGAAGCAGTTGAATATATGTCTCATCTGCTGCTATAATGTCCCTTATATATGATGACATTTATTGCTTTATATAGCTTCAGTTCTTAGTAGAGTTCTAGACAGATCAGACAGATTTTACATCTCAATTCTTTCACAGATTCAAATGATGATGTCACTTTTAAAATGGCTAAATTTTAATAAATTTTAATTTTGTGATGTGAGAAAATTTTGTGATGTGACAATTTATTTATTTTATTTTATTTCAATGCATTTTAAAAGTTGCCCATGAAAGTTATTGTTGTATAAATGTTTCCAGTCAATTGACTACCTGCTAAGAATTGATTGTGGGTTGGAGACATTATTTTTTTATTACAATCATGACTGTAATAAACTATCTGATCTGAATAATGGATTGTCCCACATTCAGAACCTCTCATTATCATTGTATAATTTGCTAATATAGTTTTCAGTATAGAGATACAATCAACCATGCTTTTTATTTCTTTTCTACATGTTAATATGAATAGATTTATACTTAAACTAAATACTATATTTGAAACCACTTATCCTTTTTCTAACCAGATACTTATCAGTCACAATTCTCATTGTTTCTTGGGTCTCTTTTTAATTCAGTTATGTTTTCTATATTCTCTTGTTTTTCCCCACCTATCCATTCATGTTATTTAATATAAGCCTTGATTAAGCAAAGTGCAGCAGTTCCAAACTGGGTATTAATATTAACTCCAAAGAAACAGATGACAGCAGAAGCAATTCTTTTTCATCTTTGCAAATTCAAGGCTACAATAATTGTATAAGGTGTAAGGTGCTAATGGTGATTTCAGTCAGATAGGATAAGCCCAACTATCTGCAATTTCAGAAATAAAGTAGAATCAAGTGTATAGTATTTCTTCAGCAAAACTTAGCATTTTTATTCTTTATAAAGCATGAGAAAAAAAATTATAGACACAATATCAAAAATCAATATTAATCATTTCATAAAGAGAAATACAGTTTCTATTTCTTTTGCTGACCAGATCATCATCCTGTTGTCCAAGTGTTATAATGCTCAGGATTGTTGTTAATTGTGAAGTCGTGTTCGACCCATCGCGACCCCAGGGACAACGTTCCTCCAGGCCTTCCTGTCATCTTCTGGAGTCCATTTAATCTCACGCCTACTGCTTCAGTAACTCCATCCAGCCACCTCATTTTCTGTCGTCCCCTTCTCTATTGCCCTCAATC